TGAGGGAATTTAACTATTTCAATTTTAATAAGATCATCTTTTTATTTTTTATTGGTCTTGAAATATTCTTATTCCAGGTTATCTTATTTACTGTTCTGTGGGAAATTTATTTGTGGCAAAATCTTTCCCTTTATAAAGGAAAGACTTTTTTAATAAATTGTTGAAAACTTTTAACCTTATGTAACCCAACTGTTAATACTTCTTTCATGACTTCTGGTTCTGATGCTGTACTAAGAAAACACAACACTAAAAACAAAGATTATGTAAATGTCCTCTAGCTTTTTTCTAACTAACAGTATTATTTTTAACCTTTTTGTTGGTGGGGTAGGAGGTGTGGGGTGGTAAGGAGGGATTGAACTCAGGGTCACTCAACCACTGAGTCACATCCCCAGCCCTATTTTGTATTTTATTTAGAAACATGATCTTACTAAATAACTTAGCACCTCTCTTTTCCTGAGCCTGGCTCTGAACTCATGATCCTCATGTCTTCCCCTCCAGAGTAGCTGGGATTACTGGCGTGGGACACGAAGCCTGGATATTTTTAACCTTCTTATGATTATAAATTACATCTGATACTGCTTATGAGACATGAACATTGCCTTATACTTGTCTAAGAAGTTTGCTGATTGGCCCAAAACAATATATTAAAACATTCACTTGAATACCTCTACTGTTTTGAAGTCTATATATTGGTATGCTAAATTTTCATAGTTGGACACGAATTTATTTTACTTATTTATTTTTATGTGGTGCTGAAGATAGAACTCAGGGCCTCACACATGTGAGGTGAGTGCTCTAACACTGAGCCACAGCTCTAGCCCCAGATAAGTCAAATTTTTCTATCGACTTTTTACAGTATAGTTTAGTTCCACAATGATTGTCAAATGTGGGTTTTAATTTAAGAGAGATTTGTTCTGGGAAAACAAACATTGCAATATTCTGACATTCCTCGAGTTTCATTCTATGTATCAGGTCTACTTTAATGCCATCTATATGTACCTTTTATTGTTCTCAGTGTGCTTTTTACCCACTTAAAGATATTTAACACTGAAAAAAAGTATAACATTTTATAATTTTTTAAAGAGAGACAGGAGAGAGAGAGAGAATTTTTTTAATATTTATATTTCAGTTTTCGGTGGACACAACATTTTTATTTTATTTATTTGTATGTGCTGCTGAGGATCAAACCCAGAGCCCCGTGCATGCCAGGCGAGCATATTATGGCTTGAGCCACATCCCCAGACCAAGTATAACATTTTAATGATCTTGTCAATTTACTTCAATTTTGTGATCATTTATTTGCATTCAGGCTGCAATGATAAAAATTTCATATTCTCTTATTTTTAGAGTTTTAGGATATAAGGAGTTTTCTATTTTACTATGTTTTCACCCTCTGCAGAACTAGCTTTTTCTTTTTTTAAGCATAATTCAATGTTTTCTTTTTTGTTAATGTATACTTTCATTTTAATTATTGTTTCATTTTAGTATATATCTTCTATCTTCTTTAATTAAATGTCCAGTACATCTATTTCCAGTGTTTATTTTTGTCAATATTAACATTTTAAAATGAATACCATTTTTAGTGTACCTATGGGTGTAATTTTGTTAATGTTTAAATACTTTGTCATTTCAGTTTTACCTTTTTAATTGGTTTCAGCCCTTTTGAGATTTTTTTTTTAGTTTAAAAGTGTTTGTATAGTTTTCTATCATGGGCAATGGTGTTTACATATTCTAATTTTGGGAATTTATTTAAAAGTTAATTGTCAATTGCATGATCAGTTTTCAAACATGGAATATGTTTCATACATGAGAAAAGGAGATAAATTTTCTGTGTTGGGTACTTATACAAATTTTARAAAYTAAATAAAATGAAATTTTAATAATCAATTTTACAAATTTATTTTTCCTTTTATTGTTTTGTTAAAGACAATTCTCTGTAAGTGTTCTACTATGATTGTGGCTAAATCAAAATACTTACAGATTTACTGGGACTTTTCCGTTGAAATTTTTCTATTATGATCATCAGTGTACAAATGTTCCTTTTCTTTTGGTCTTTGAAAACAAATTATGGGCCATCCTGTTAAATCATTTGGCCTGCAATTTTTACTTAATTTCATTTTTTCCTTATTCTCTAATTCGCTGGGACTTTGCCACATGCTCTTGTTTGTTCTTGATTTGAAATTCCATTTTCACTGCTGCATAACTTTACAACTTTTGAAAGTAGTTTTATCAGATCCGTTCTTTTTCTTCATAGAAAAATCAGAATATTCCAGCATTTGAATATCATTACATGCTGCTATAAGTGTTCTTGAGAATGCCCTTTGGGCACATATGCAGGAGTTTCCCTGGAATATACATCCAAGAAGGGATCGCAAAGCCAAAAGTACAATGATGTACAGTTCTATGGGATGGGGCTATATTTTCTTAAGAAAGCAGATGTATCAATTCTTGCTGAAATTGGTAATGGATATGTTTTGTCTTCCCCCCTAGTAATGATACATATCAGAATTTTAAATTTTTTCAATGTGTTATTTATGAAGTGGTTTTTCAAGTGATTGTAACTTACATGTCCACACTCAGTAATGCGAATAAGCCTGTTTTGAAAGATTATTGACCATAATTATTGTATATTCTGTGAAAGGACTTTTTGACCCAACTTTTCATTAATGATATTTTTCATATTAATTTTCTTTATACAGTTTCTCTCCTATATATAAAAGTATTTATTTTAACAATATTTTTTGTAATAGAGGAAAATTGGGGGAACACCTAATTTTCCATGGCTAGTAGAATGGATTAAAATAATTATGATTCATTCCGCTAATGAATATGATGCAACTGTTAAACATTTGAAATAATATACTGGAATTGTTAATATTATTTCTAATTCTCCCTGCAGATTCTTTATATCTACAGAAATCCTAAAGATGTTTTGGTTTCCTTTTTTCATTTTTCAAATTGGGTGGCTCGATTCAAGCCTTCTGATACTATTGAGAATTTTATGGAAATGTTTCTAGATGGACAAGGTAACTATGAATTTATTTATCAAGGAATTTAGGGGAAGATATTTCGAGAGATGGAAAAGGGCAATTGTACAATGGATGTTCTTGAGTAGTTACTAGGACACATCAACTTAGTCTGCCACCCAGTGGCTTTTCCTTCCTTGCCAGGACCATGTAGGTCTTGTCAAATTTGCAAAGGCATGTTGTTTAGGAAACATTTTTACCAGTCCATAAGAGGCTTACACGTATTCTATCAAACTAGCTACAAATATAATTAAAACAATACATTCCAGAATCACTAGTGATCAGGGTGTTTGTGTACTCTCTCATGGAACTGTGGTAAGCCTTCTAGGGCCATGGTGGAGTTTATCACTCCACTACTGATGAGGATTGATTGTTGCAAGGGACTTGTAGTGAGAAGTATCAGGATCTCACTCATTTAAAGATTACATTCAGGTTCTGTCTCATTGTAAACAGGTAGCTTCACTAACCAGTGTTCTTAGAGAATGAGAAGAAAAATGGACACGTGTGTTTTCTGGTGGATATAGGAAAGTGGAGGAACTTGCTTTAAAGAAATCTGATTTAAACTTAGATCCAGGGGCTTTCTCATTTCTTTATTGCTGCCTTCCTACATCCATAAGGTCGCTTTTCATGGTCACTTCTCTATGAAAACCATGATTGTTCCCCTAAGCAGTAATCATTTCAAAACAGTAATATATATGTCCAGTGGTTGGGCCTTTATTTTTGTTTTTGTGAGTATAAGGAGGAAAAGACAGAATACTTTGCTGTTCAATAAGTGCAACATCTTCACCTTGTTACTAATTAATTTTTGTACAGTGATGGGAAGTCGTTGGTTTGATCATGTAAGAGGCTGGTATGAACACAGACATGACTTCAATATTCAGTTCATGAGCTATGAAGATATGAAAAAGGTAAAATAAGAAGTATTTTTTAAAATTTCATTTTTAAACCTTTTTTTTCTCCTGGTTTCAGGAAAACTCATTCTCCTAGTCATTTTTATACATATTTTGTAGGCCTTGGGGGGTTAAATAGGGGTTCTAATTTCCTGCTTATCCGTTAATTATTATTGGTTTTCCTCAAGGGTGTCTTCTCACTACACACAGTCACCATGATTATCATGTAACAACTGTAGCAATAAAGACAACCTCAAATATCTAGGATACCAATCTTGTAAATCATTTTTATTAATATTAATTACATATTAATGGGTTTTGGTATCTGATTTCTATATGACCATACAACATGCACTGACCATATCCAATCTCCCTTCCTCCACCTTTACCTCCCCTTCCCCCTGGACCCTTCACAGGCCCTAGTATTCASGATTCTACTTTCAGTCAATATTTGTTGTTGTTTTCATGTGTGCTGCTTGTGCTACTTGTCTTTCTATGGCTTATTTTGGTAACATCATGTCTTCCAGTTCCATGAATTTTGCTGGAGAATTTCATTTTTTATATCTGAATAATAGTTCAGTGTGTGTGTGTGTGTGTGTGTGTGTGTGTGTGTGAGAGAGAGAGAGAGAGAGAGAGAGAGAGAGAGAGAATTTCTTATTCTGTTTATCTGTTGATAAACACCATGTAGACTGAATCCTTATCTATTGTGAATAGTGGTACAATAAGCATGGGCATGTGAGTTGTCTCTTGTATGGTGCACTGTTTCTTTTTGATATATACCAGGAATGTTACAGTTGGATTATACAGTAGTTCTGTTTTTAGTTTAGTTTTATTTATTTTTTTTGAGGATCCACCATACACCAAACTGTTTTCCATGGTAGTTATACTTAATAAAGTTCATCAAGGAACACCAAGGCATTGAGGCATGAAGTCACTCTAAGATAGGATAATTATTGCTGTAGATGAGGGTGAGCCCAGTGAGGCACATTCTTCCTATAAACAGAATCTTAAAATTAGTTCTCATGTGAAGTCATAGAATGCTTATATGCTGGTGAAAGATTCAAAACTGCCTGAAAACTTTGTGTAATTCAAAGTTTTATTGAATTACACAAAGTTGAAGTTCATTGTTCTGTGGACTCTGATTGGTATATTGATCCATTAATACATCATCTATTCAGTTACTTAAAAAATCACTGAATGATTGTTCTGTGCCTGGCACTGCATAATGAGTAATAGACAACTGAATCTTTTATAGACAGAACTCATAATGTATCAGGGAAAACAAGTACTCACCAAGCTAGTATATGTATTTCAAAAGTAATAAGTGCAAATATTAAGGAAATGTCCAATTCGATGTCAATGTGCATATGTACTGAGGGTATCTAGTATAGTCAAATGTAATGGTCATTTTTTTTCTTTCCTGAAATAAAGAACATGGGAAATGCAAGCTAATAAATAAGAGCTTAGAAAAAAAATCATGGGAGAGACTTATAAGATAAGAAAAAGGGAAAGTACAGAAGTCCCTTGAGGACCTAAGGGAAGAACTTGAACAATGTGGGAGAGATGAAAGTTTAATATAGGGGGTTTTAAAGGAGCCAGATTTTATAAGATATGTAGACTATGTTAATGAGAGTGATTTATTTAATGTTAAAAGTAGTAAGGAGCCTCTTAAGAGTTATTAAGAAGGGTAGCCATAGATTATAATTAATATTTTTTAATATTATTTCTGTTTATGAGTTGAGGAGGAAAAATAGTAAATATAAGGAAACTAGACTAGACAGAGACCAGTGTATTAATCCACTGAACATCAGTGGTGGCTTGGATTGGAGTAGTGTCTTTGTGAATGAAGAGAATACAGAGTTTTGAGCACAGTTAAGATATAAAAATAAAAGGGATCATCTTCTCTAACTCCATCCATTTACCTGCAAGTGCCATGATTTTATTCTTTTATAACTGAGTAATATTCCATTGTGGATATATGCCACTTTTTTATCCATTTATCCACTGAAGGGCATCTAGGTTGGCTCCACAGTTTATATATTGTGAATTGTGCTGCTATAAACACTGATGTGGCTGTGCCCCTATATCATGCTGTTTTATAAATCCTTTGGGTGTAGACCAAGGGGAGGGATAGCTTGGTTAAATATTGGTTCCATTACCAGTTTTCCAAGGAATCTCTGTACTGCTTTCCATATTGGCTGCACCAAGTTGCAGTCCCACCAGCAGTGTATGAGTGTACCTGTTCCCCACATCCTCACCAACACTTATTGCTTTTTGTCTTCATAATAGCTACCATTCTGACTGGAGCAAGATGAAATCTTAGAGTGGTTTTGATTTGCATTTCTCTAGTTGCTAGTGATGATGAACATTTTTTTCATATATTTGTTGATTGATTGTATATCATCTACTGAGAAGTATCYAATTCCTTTGCTCATTTATTGATTGGGTTATTTGTTTTTTTTTGCTGTTTAACTTTTTTGAGTTGTTTATATATCCTAAAGGTTAGTCCTCTAATCTTTAGGATATATAAAGATGTGTGAAGTCTAAAGATTTGCTCCCAACATGTAGGCTCTGTATTCACCTCACAGATTGATTCTTTTACTGAGAAGAAACTTTTAATTTGAGTCCATCTCATTTATTGATTCTTGATTTTAATTCTTGTGCCAAATGAGTCTTATTAAGGAAGTTGGGGCCTAATACCACATGATGGAGATTAGGGCCTACTTTTTCTTCTATTATTACATATACATGGCACTTTTTCATATCTCTGGTTGTGTGGATTTGAGATATTACAGCTTTTTCCCTATATTCTTGTAGTACCTGTGTAGATTGTCTGTACCTCACCTTGAAGTTGGGCTTCCAGACCCTGCTGGTGTCCCTCAATGTATGCTACTGCAACTAAAGTTGGTGGTGGCAATAGCAGAGGTAACTCCAGATAATAGTTAAGGTGTCCCAAGATGGAAGCAATGTCTTACAGAGATGGGACTGAAAGAATGGACCTCACACTCCCTTGGAATGCCTGCTCTAAGAGTCAGCTGCTTGTCTGTTGTAAAAATGTTAGGGGCTACTGCATGGAGAAGGTATGATAATGACTGCAGTGTCCCAAGATGGAAGTGGGTTAGGCTTAGGTTCCCATGTGGGGGAGGGGGTGAACTTGGACCTACCATGGACATAGATTCTGCGAAAGTCTGTGTGGACAGATCTGGGCTAGGCTTGGACTCCTGCACTAGTCTGCTGGTTGGAAGAGGTGGTCCTGTGCCACAGGCTGGACTCCAGTGGGTGCCTCCTGGTGGAGGGGTGGACCCAGGCCTACTATGAGCATGGGCCCCACACAGGTGGGTGTGGGTGGTTCTACGCCAGTGTGGGTGGATCTGGGCCATTGGGCTTGACCTCCCGAGGTAGTCTGCTGGTCAGAAGAGGCAGTCCTATTCCAGAGGCTAGGCTCTGGCGGGTGTCTGCCCCATGGGTGGAGGTATGGACCTGGGCCTACTGTGAGCCTTGATCCCTTGCGGGCTTGTGTAGGCAGTCTGGGCTGGGTCTCAGCTGCTGCGATAATCTGATGGACAGAAGAGGCAATTCTAAGCTGGAGGATGGGCTGGAGCAGATGCCTGTAGGTGGAGGGGTGGACTTATGCCTACTGTGAGTCTGGGTCCCGCACAGGCTGGTGTGGGTGGATCTGGGATGCTAGGCCTGACCTCCCCCAGTAGACCACTGGTTGAAAGAGGCGATCTTGCAACAGAGGCTAGGCTTTGGCTGGTGTCTGCTGTGCCAGTGGAGGGGTAGACCTATGTCTACTGTGAGCTTCTTTCGGTCCCACATGGTCTGGTGTGGGTGGTCCCAATTTTAAGTTAGTTTTAATATGTGGCATAGGATCAGGATCAACTTCAAGCTTTTGCATGCAGCCATTCAATTTTCCTATTACCTTTTGTTGAGGAAACTATCCTTGTACTATGAAATATTCTTGGCATTCATGTCAAAATTAATTTGACCATATTAAAGCTGGTTTCTGTGAACTCTATTCAACTCTATTGATTCATACTTCCAAATTTATGGCATTTTCAGACTGTTTAGATGACCATTATTTTGTAGTAAGTTTGAAGTGTGAAAACAGAGAATCTAGTATTCTTTTTCAAGACTAACTATTCAGGATGCCTTGGAGTTTCATAAGAATATTGTGATAGATTGTTTGTTGTTGTTGTTGTTGTTTTTGCAAAAAATATCATTGGGATTGTGATAGAGTGCATTACATCTATCTGTGAATTGTTTTACATTGTATTCTTTCTTTAATTCCAGTCATCAGTATAGGATATTGTTTCATTTATTTGTTTGCTTTTACTTTTCAGTAATGATTTGTAGGTTTCAATAGGCAACACTCTTACCTCCTTGTTCATCCCTTGGAGTTTTAGTCTTTCTTCTTGTAATTATTAGTATAATTGTTTCTTAATTTCCTTTTAGGTTTACTCATTGTTAGTGTATAGAAATTCAACTGATTTTTACAAGTTGGTTTGATTTTTGATTCTACAACTTGATTAAATTTCTTTGTTCTCATGTTCTTTTTGGTGTGTTGTGTGAGTGCTTTTTGGGTGGTTTTCTACATATAAGATAATCTTATGGGCTAACAGGGATCATTTCATTATCTTTATTTTTTATTTCAATACCTTTTTTATTGCTTAGTGCCTCCAGCTAGTATTTCTAGTATCATAATAAACAGAAGTGGAAAACTGAATTGGTCTTACTCCACATCTCAGATGAAAATTTCCTCTCTCAGTTGAGTTTGTTGTTAGCTGCAGGTATTCCATATAAGACTTTTTCATGTTGAGGTAGTCTCCTTCCATTGCAGATTTATTGAGCATTCATCATAAAAATATGTTGGGTTTTTTAAAAATTGTTTTAATTAGTTACACAATGATCTTGACATAGCATACATTTGAATCAGATGGGATATAATTTCTCATTTTTCTGAGTGTACAGGTTGCAGAATTACATTGTTCATGCAGTCACATATATACCCACAGCAA